GAAATGCAACCACACCGCAACTTTCCCTACATCCTTTTGACTGTACATACATTCTTCTTTGTCAATATTTAAACGATCGTTTTTTTCCACAGGAACTGTTTGCGATTTCCGTATGGATTACGGTCGGGTGCTGAACCGCAAAGCCAAAATTGTTATCATTAATCGGGATAAAAAACAATTGTACCTGGTGAGTGATTTTACAGGTTTTTGATCTGATCTGAACTTCAACTGAAAACTAAACTATTCTCAATGAGTTATTTTACTTGTCTGGATTGCTGCAGCTTTGAACTGAATAATACTCATAGATGTCAAACCAACATTCATCGAAATTAGTCAACCTTGGGGACTTCTCGTGACAAGGCTAACTGAGGTGTAACAGTGAATGAACTGTTTTGAGTAAGTGAGTTGTTGATAGTTTGGGCACTTCAGCGCATAGGTGGTTATCCACACGTACTACTAATTCGTTCTTACTGAGTCTGAGTTTGTTCACAGTCATAGCCTATGGTGCAAACCTTCATAATGAGACAAACAAAGCGGCCGGTATACACCGAGTGACTGGCATGTAAGCAGAGCGCAGCCCATGAAGGAGGTAGGGGGACTGCACAAGGCTCACAAATAGGGTTTGACTAAAAGCCTAAAAGAATTTGAATCCAATTTGATATCGTTATCGGTTAGTTTATTTTTCAACTATTAGCCATGCACGTTCGTTCGCTGGTTTTGGTTACTGACTTTCAGCTACCCAAGTTGGATAAAAGAGCGGATGAATGATTACAACGTTGAGAGCAGAAACAAAGAGAAGATAGAGAATCCACATAAACTGGGTTTGAAACAATAATGAGTAGACGCAAGAGCGCCACTCAGCCATATCATTCAGTGTTTCTAACCATGGGTTATCATGATTTCGGGATCCCTATTCAGTAAGCCTAACGGGACCTATATGACCGAGTCTCCAGGTTAGTTTTCATACCCTCAAGCCACGTCTTGATTTTACTGGCCTTGACCTTTTTCCATCCACTGTTTGCCTCGGTAAACAACACGCGCCGCGGCCACCAGTTTGATGAAATGCAGAACACATGTTCTAACCAGTGTTGTCCACGGAGGTCAACCGCCTGTTTCAGTGGACCACCGCGATTACCTGAAACCCTGCGCTTAGCCTCAGCATTGCTCTTCCGTTTGCGCACCATATATATAACACCAGCGTGTAGACAAGCATGGTGCCAATGCCACAACGATAATAGGGGGCAGGTGGTTTGAAATACAGAGCAAAGTGGAAAGAACGTGAAACAGTTAACCGTGGAAAAACGGCAGACAGCTAGGAGAACAACAAATTTGTTTCACCGTACACTTTTTCAAATTTATTTGTTACTTTTATCGTTTTTTTATGGGTCACGGGATTTACAGGCAAACCTTACAGCATTCGCGCCACTGACTTCTATTCTGAGCCATATCTCTTGACGTCTCTAACCAGCGACAATTCTCATCCCTTGGGCCCCAATCTGGAAGGCGGGCTGCACCAACCGACGCCAAAGCTGAAGCCACCTTCTTCATACCCCTACGTCATGTTGTGGTCCGACCGTCGCAGCGCTTCTAGCCTTTCCCGGCATGTGCGAAAAGGGCACGCAAAGCTAGTCGATAGGCAGGCATACGCCCAACGTGATCAAGCCATCGGAGGCGGTGTAGAGCGATTACTTCTGTTAGAAAACGACCCAGCACACGACGACGAACCTCGTCACTACTCACCCGATGTTCTCACCGGACACGAGGAATGCTTTGGAGTTACCGGTGGCCGAATCATCAACGTGGAGGGGCCAGTTCTCGCAAACGTAAAATAAAACACTACGAACCGCGGCGAAGTAAATCCTTCCCTTAGGAGACAGTCGTATGTCATGGCGGTGCTACAGGTGTCGCGAGCAAGCTCCTGAGGTACTTAAAACTGTCAACTGCTTCCAACAGAGGGCGAGTGCAAGCATAAGCTCGTGCCATTCTTGAAAAAGCACTTCCTATTTGGACGGCGCAAAATATATACCATATCTGGATACCTCGATCGCGAAGCGGTTCAAAGCGTGTTGGACTACCTGTGTATTTTCACTTAGCAAGGCGCTTTTTCCCATAAGTGAGCGGATGTTCTTGGTTGATAATAACGCGAACAGTCTGTTGATGGAACTTTGTCTAAGAGCGACCATCGAATCAGCACGATGTCTTGTTTGCGGTCCTTGTCCCTTCCGCCTCAATCGTCTATTGTGATTTATCACACAATGCGCAAAACCTCAACACTGGTGTTCAGGAGAGAGAAAACTCAGGGATGTCAAAAATGTGCTACCGTAGGATTGCATTCAATCCTGAAAACTAAATGAATTGATTTAATAAAGTATGTCTAGAAGACAACGCAGTTTTCCACTGTAAAATTGCGAGAAATAGCCGCAGTATAAGCACAGTCGCATTTGAAAGCCCCATTAGTGCGCGCGCCCGCAACTTGGTTATCTTCGCTGTCGTTTACATCCATTTATTCTAATGGGGTCTTATTTGGTGCACCGTATCTAGTAATGAATGACTGTGGGATTTTCCCTTCTGCTGCTCATCACAAAATTGTGCGTAATAAAAAATGATGTCACTCGCAAACAGATCATCATGTTTTTGGTAGCCTTATCGACGGAATTCGAAATCATCTGTACTCTAAATGAAAAAGTGTATTAACTAACTTGT